TGTGGCAGTTGCCATCCATTTTCTGCTGGTTCTGGTTGCTTCTCTGGCTGACTGGTGGTTGATCTTGTCTGTTGGCAGATGTACAAATGCTATCTTTGGGGGTATTAGTTAGACTCTCTGAAGAAGGTCCAAGGAAGCACTCTACAAATTCCTGCCAAGTATGCTCCTGCTTGGGATGCCCACACACAACAGGTGGCCTTCCTGTGAATGTACCAAAAAAGATTGCTCTAAGAGTTCCCTCCAAGGGATCCACTCAGCACATGGGAAATTCACACATCCTTGCTGTATGCATGGTAGAAGCGGGTGGGCACCAGCACTCACAGCCCCAGCACATCTCTAGGTCCCGGCAGTATCAGGTGCTGTCCTGGCCTGTAGGTCAGAAGCTTCAGACACAATTACACTTCTTAACCTAGTGGACTGTCCTAGTACCTTCACCTTACATGAATGGAGATGCAAAGCAGAAATGAAAAGCCGCCACTCATGGGAAAGCAGTGAAGGTTTTGTTTGTTTTGCCACTCCTCCTCTCACATGGAGGGAGGAGGAGAGGTGGTAGTGCCAGTTGTGCTAAAAAGAAACTCAAAAACACACCTGAAGTGCTCTGAATTTAGAATTTGGGACATTTAGCACCTTTTGTTATCAATTCTAAGTTTAGTTAAAACTCCAAGAAAAATTCCACTTAGCCTTTCACCCTACCTTGTTGTGATCTTTTCTCTCATTTTTATATCCTGTTTATACAAACAGATGACTACATTAATGCCTCAGGCTGTTCTAAGGTTAACTGCACAAGGTCTGACATATGACAAATGCTTAACAATATGAGCTGTGACTGCACCTAACAGCTACATAAACCAAAAAACCAAACTCACTGCCGTCAAGTTGGATCCAACTCACAGCGACCCTTCCTTGGGTTTCTGAGGCGCACTACAGAAGTAGATTGCCCAACCTTCCTTCAGAGGAGTGGCTGGTGGGCTGCCATTATTACGATTCTCTCATACAATCTCCCTTTTTGTTTTTTCCACATTGTTTTCTGATATTTTGAGTACCTAAGTTACTTTCTCAAAAAGGTTTACTTCCTATACGAAAATATTTTTGTGAGATACTTTTACATTGATTCTTCAGGGGACATCTTTCCCTGCATTAAGCATGGGATCCATGTTGAGTTTTCTTCTTCTGTTTATTCCATCTTTTATGAGGCCAGCATATAGTCTTCCACACAGAAACACATACATTTCACATATAAACAGCATACAGAAACACAAATATTAATTGAAGACATAAATGAGTACATATTTCTCAATAATCTTTTTAAACTGAATTATAAAATGAAGCTGGAAATGAGGTTGAAGTTTTATTATTTTTTCCGAAAAATAAAGCCCTGAGTTTGATGAATGTGTGTCTTAATATTAGATCTTTTTTGTTTGATTTACATAAAACTTGATGAGAATAGTTCCATGCAATAACAAATTTAAATAATCATATTAGATGTTCCAATAATGCTTCAACATTGATAGGATTTTAACTTAAAAATTATAAGCATATAGAGTAAAACCTGTAAAAGCTGGAACCTGTGTAAGGTGGAAACTTATCAGAGATGGAAAACTCAAATATTTCCTACTAAACAGAGAGCAACAGAAAATGCTTTCACTGCACTCTGTCAAAGGTGGAAAACTAGACCTGGAAAAACAAGGCAGTGCAGTGAGTTCCAGCCCTCACAGGTTTCACTGTACTAAATTTTCGATTATACATTTCAAATTAGAATCACAAGGATAATCTGTTACTATTAAGCTAAATTATCCCTAGTATTATTGATGATTAAAATGCCAAATAAGTACTTATTATTCCTTAACTCTAAAAAATTAGTACCAAAGATTTACTTTACTCCATATTCTACTTATTTCTAAATTTTCCCTAAGTTTAGATGCATTTACCTGGTAAGGAAGCAGATACATTGCGGAATGAGTTTTGCTAATAAGCAAAGTTTTGGGGACACATTCTCAGAGAGCTGAGACTGTTGAAGTTTGCAGCTCCCAGTAAGCCTATAGTTATTTTCTTCAATGTTCTTGTTGGTTTTGGTTTCTTTGCTTTCCATAACAAAGTTAAAAATGTCTCTATTTAGCTCATGAGGTTATTCCATTGGCTCTTTCATGCTCTTAGTTAATTCTGTGGCAACCTCTTTGAATTAGAATTCTGTATTCTTTTCTTACTTTAGGTGTCTGGTAGGGCCATAGCTTTTTTGAATTCTACACAACTGCCAGGGCTTTCACTGACTCTACCTATGGGCATAGTAACACTGTTGAAAAACAAATAACACAGAAGAGAAAGCAAATTGATACTTTTTGGGGGAGACAGCATAATAATAATACCCTAAAAGAAGTAGTTTGTCTTTAAAAACAAACCTTAGGTAAACTTGAAGTCTGGGACTGCTGGAGGATTATACCACACCTGGGAAATTAACCTTTAGATCACATTATTTTTAAATACTTTATGATATGCTGAGGTCATTTTGTATTAGTTATTTGCACCTGGTGATTAGGTACCTATACAGAGCCAGAGTCTCCAAAATATTCAGAGTGGGAATTGAGGGTTAGGAGCATTGTGGGGTTATAAAAAACCCAGTGGTACTCACGGAGGACTTGGAGGATCTAGGAAAAGTTTACATAGCCATCTGGGAGCACGCTGCTCTGCTTCTACTTTGTGTAACTATCTCCATGAAAGAAACTTTACATTTTCCTTGTCTGTTTTAATCAATCACATCATTGTACTGTTGTTACAACTACGTAGAAACCAAAAACCAAAAACCAAACTCACTGATATCGAGTCGATTTTGACTTACAGTGACTCCCACTGGGTTGCCAAGGCTGTAAATCTTTACAGCAGCAGACTGCTTCCTCTTCCTTCTGCGGAATAGTTGGTAGGTTCAAACTACCAACCTTTTGGCTAGCAGCCAAATGCCTTAACAACCACACCACCAGAGCGCCTTATAGTAGGAAAAGGCAGGAATATTTTAACAGTCATTTCAGGTAACTGTGAACATTCTTCTTTGAAATTATACCATAACTAGGTAAATGGTAGTTTCTGAAAGATCGGCTGCAGCACAAAATCTGCAATCCTATCAACGCATTTTTTTCATCCTCTGATACATTATAACCCATTGGTCTATCTTGTGCTTTGAGTGGGTCTTTTGCCCATGCATAATTTTGTAATACCATACATTAGTCACTCAGAAAACACTGGTTCACCAGTTATTTAGATCAGAATGTTGACCAAATTGTTATATAATATAAAAAATCACATTTATTTACCATTCATTTTATTTTAAAAATTTCAATGTGTTGGGAAGCTGTCAAGCTCCCAGTTTTCCAAAATTATGATTTTTTTTTTAGAAATCTCAACCCTTATCATTGGCAAAAAATACCATCAGTAGTTTTCCACGAAGTGAGAGGCTCACTTTGCTCATTTTTGAGAAAATGTCTGCCAAATACCCAAAATAGTTTGTCTGTCAGTCATTAATTTCAGTAAAAATGGTAATCCATGAAAAAAGAAGTTAATTTAATTCACAATTCAAACTATCAAACAAGTGTTTTTCTTTGAGACTCCATCATACTCTTCTAACATCCATTTTGGTCTTCCTTTCCTCTCTTTTTAATGACTATTTGCTTTCTTCATGCATGATATTTCTGACGTCATCCCACAACTTGTCTGGTCTTTGGTCACTCGTGTTCAATATGTCAAATCTATTCTTCAGACAGTCTCTAAATACAGGTAGGATATAATCAAGGGTATATATTGGCTCTCATGGACTTATTTTAATATTGTTCAGCTTCAACTTGAACTTGCATATGAGCAATTGATGGCCCTGTTTCAGCTGACGATACTGGGCTTCTCTAACACCTCTTTTGACAAGATGTAGTTGATCTGATTCCTGTGTACTCCATCTGGTGAGGTCCACATGTATACCTGCCATCTATGCTGTTGAAAGAGGTATTTGCAATAAGTCACTGGTCTTGCAAAATTTTGTCATGTGATCTCCAGCATCATTTCTATCATCGAGGGTATATTTTCCAACTACTGATGATTCTTCTTTGTTTCCAACTTTCACATTGTGATCATCAATAATTATCAATACAACTAACATATAGTTCTTTATTCAGAACAGTTATTTCTATATTTAAAAAGGCCATAACAGGCTTTGGAGTATATTTATAAACCATAATGTGAACTGCTTCAAGTTTTGGTTTATCCAATTCTGCTAGAGTATGGATTTTAGATACTGAAGTCACATGTGCTACATGAAGAGATACCAGAATCAAAAATATTTTTGACATCCTCAAAAATAAAGGTACTCAAGGTAGTTAACTCAAAGTATCAGATATATATTCCATATGAAATACATTTTTTATTATTTGAAAAATAATAGAAATAGTGTATAAAACACAAAGTGAAAGATTACACAGTGCAATTGGTATCCTTTGTTACAACCTTTTTCTTCATCTAAATGAAACAGAAATGTTACATCTTCTTTTTACTGGTCTGGTCCACTAATACCATTTAAGAATGTGTATAACAGCTTCTTCTCCAGGGACTACAGACAATATATAAAATAACTATGCTTTCTTCATTTATAAAACAGAATTTAGAAAAGATAGGAATATTTTATATCACACAATTACCATACAACTACTATTTTTTTTATTACATCAAATCATGGCACATTACATTGAGAAAACAGGACAGTAACATGGCTTCTTAAAGCAATCTTAAAGGAAACTTAATTTAGTATTCCAGTCTATGACATACTAGCTCAGGCTCTTAGAAGACCCAAATACTTATGCATGGAAGGCTGACTTAAGGTGCCAGTCCCTCAATAAATAGGTAATTTTCACTTTGGGATTAGAATACTTTTTAAGCTGAAATATTACTCCCTTCTCTTTAAGAAATGAAATATGGCTCTACCTTTATAATATGCCAAGACACACATAATTTCTCTGGGAACTTCCAACTTAATTAAAAAGACCTTTCTTTTTTGTTTTGGCCATTGATTTCTTGTTAGCATTAGCTAAGGTGTCATTTCCCTTGGCAAACCATTCAGGTAATTTTCTCTTTGAGGTTTCAGCTGAAGTCTACAGGAAAGAAAAAGAAAAAAAACAAAAACCTTTTACTTCTGAGAACATTGTTAATTACAAAAACTAATCCAGGTTACTAAATACACCACCCTCTCCCTACCACCACTCTGTCAAACAAAACAAAACAAAATGGTGAGACCTATAAAATTTATTTTGGTAAATAATAAATAATAAAACCCCAAAAAAAACCCAAACCCATGGTCACTGAGTTGATTCTGACTCATAGCGACCCCCATTGGGTTTCCAAGGCAGTACATCTTTTATGCAAGTAGATTGCCCAGTCTTGCTTCCATGGAGTGGATAGTGGGCTTGAACTACCAATCTTCTGGTTAGCAGTCAGATGCCTTAGGCACTGTGCTACCAGAGCTCCTTAAATAATAAAAGAAGTCACTATATCATATCTTCAGGCAATTATTTGACATTCCATTACATATTCTTAGAAACCAGAGGGTAGATATATGGGAAGAAAAGAACTGGAAATTATTTTAGCTCTATGTACCATGATGGCTCTGGGTTGACCAAAGTGGTAGATTTAACGTTGTGAGAAGGCATCTTCCTGAGAATATAAATATATACACACACACACACACAAATGTTCTATTAACGCAAAAGGCCCTCTTGCCATCACGTCAATTCCGACTCACAGCGGCCCTGTAAGACAAGGCAGAACTGCCCCTTGGAAAAACGTGTTAATATCTTTATGAAAGCAGACTGCCACTTCTCTCTCCCATGGTACAGCTGGTGGGTTTGAACTGCCAGCCTTTCAGTTAGCAGCTGAGCGTTTAACCAGTGTGCTACTAGGGCCCCTTAGTGTTATACTAAGTCTATGGAAAGAACGAAACTCTTAATGTCTACATCGGATGAGAGATGAGATGAGTGGCTCATCTGCACCTTGCTATGTGCCTAAGATAACAGACACTCAAAAATGTTCAGAGTGAAAAAAACTTTTATGTCTTTTAGATTCCTTTGAGCATCTGCTGAGAAGCTCCACTTCTCAGCAAATAAATACACATGCATGATACTTTGCACACTATTCCATAAACTTGTGTTATTTCAGTATGATCAACAGATCCTCAGAATAACATGACAGAAAAATCATTCTAACACGAGTACATCTTAGACTCCAGCAGAGGTGATTTAGTTATTCGAAGTCTTTGAAGGACTTTATACCAACGATCATAAAGATGGGGGAGGACTAGGTAACATTTTGTTCTGCTAGACGTAAGGTCACAATAAGCAGAAGCTGCGACTCCAACTAAGAGCAGCAGGATAGACTGGCCTTATCTAAATTACAACCTGTCTATCAGCCTAAGCTGCATATTGCTCACCAACTGCTTGACATGTTTTCCATATTTAAGAGAAGTTTCAAAATATCGAAGGTAGAAAAACAGCAAAAGATTCTTAGCAAAAGACTATAAAACTTTTATTTTTCAAAAAAGGGTAAACACTGTTAGCTGTTGCAGCTTAATTAAGGAAATCCAATGAAGGGCTACTCACAAATCGGCAAAAGTTAAAGGGAATAAAAAACAACTGACCAAGACAGAAATTTTCTTCTCAGGTACCCATTTCCTCACAGGGAAGAGAAGACCATGAGAACAGATGAGATTCTTATATATTTTAAGGAAGATCGGGCAATCTACTTCCGTAGAGATACTGACTCAGAAACCCAAGAAGGGGTCACTATGAGTCAGATCCAACTCAATGGCAGTGAGTTTGGCTGTTCTTTTCTTTTTTTTTTTTAAAGGAGCTCTACTGGTACAGTGGTTAAAGCATTTGGCTGCTAACCAGAAGGTCAGTGGTTTGAACCTACCAGCTACTCTGCAGGAGAAAGATGCTTTTATAAAGATTTACAGTCTTGGAAATCCTATAGGGCAGTTCTACTCTGTCCCATACAGTCGCTAGGAGTTGGCATTGACTCAATGGCAGTGGGTTTTTTTTTTTTTTTTTTTTTTAAGATATTTTAGTAAAACCTGCAAAACCTGGAACCTGTGTACAGTGGAAACCTGTCAGGGAAGAAAAATTCAAATATTTTCCACTAATAGTGATAGAAAAGTGGTTAAGAATGTACCCTAACAAACGTGGAAAATTTGTGAGACCTGGAAAAACAAGGCAGTCTTATCAAGTTCTGGCTCTCACAGGTTTCACTGTATTATGTTTGATTTAGAAACAAAAATACTAGGGATATGAAGTGGCACAGCCATAGGGGCATTTTGGTAAAGGTAAAAAATGGACCAGAAATACGCATACTTCCCAAAGGTCTTAATATCAAAAATCTTTTATGGCCACAGACAACTATAGTTGCGTACATTTAAGAGTTTAAATGGTGAGGAAGCTAGTTAAGATTGTAAACAGAATTAATATATCTAAACAGTCTACAGAGCAGAGGAAATAACCCTAAGTCTTATAGTCTCCTAATACAATAGAATATGCAAAGAATTTGATAATAAAGAGAACTAGGTTTCAATTGTAATTGAGCCATGTTTTAAATATATGAATTTAGGCATGTTGTATAAGCCTGTTTCTTGACATGCATATGGGAATAATGTTACATAACATCACTGGAATGCTGTGGGAGCTAAATGAGAATATATGCAAATATCAACATATATCCTAACCTATTCTTGGTACTCTCATTAATTGACAGCTAACATCATTTAAAGTCTTTTATCTTCTATAACATTTCTACAGAACATGATCTTCAGTATTCACCATGTAGTTATAATGATAATCTTATTTTACATAGAAAAAGGAGAAAATGCTTACGTACATTGAGTGTGCCTTCTGATTCTCAAAAATAAGTATCTGGAAAGACCTCAATTATGAAGTCTAAGTCACCTAACAGAAATAATACCTTCCAGTGACCACATCCTTCCTCAGTAGAAGACTAAAATTTCCAGCAATCATAATAAAATTTAAAAGGCTATTGATATCTTTTTGATACCTTAAGTTCCATTTAACAAATTATTATCATTAAGAATAGAAAATATTAACTCATTTGCTGATTCTCTGTACACATATATATGTAAGCAAATAAGACAAATATGTGAAATTATATTCACATTTAATTTTTTCTATAATTAAAATAAATCTAAACATATTAATTATCAAGCCTGATGTACTCCATGAGAACTATCTTGCTAAATCAACTTTACCTGTGAATAACAATCTGTAAATAAATCTACTTCTGGATCACTGGATGGCAGCTTCCAAGAAGTTACTGCATTTCTTTGACTCTTGTCTTCCACTGAGAAATCACCAGGATATTTTCTATCAGCCTTTAAAATTTATATGCAATACAGAATAGTTACAACAGGTACTATGTTCTTAATATAAAAAGGCTATGCCTAAGAAAGCAAGGGTTAATAAAACTCTTATTATTCTAAAGTCCTGAATTTTAGCAATTACAATTATACTAATATTATTACTCATAAAACCATTTTGAAGATCTTAAATAGTTTATAAATAATACTGTATATTTTAAATTTATATTCAAAATGAATGGCAGATCAGGAAATATCATTCTCCTTCTTTTATGTAACAAAACAAAACAAACTCACTGCCGTCGAGTCAAATGCAACTCATAGCGACCCCTCCTTGAGTTTCCGAGGCAGTATCTCTATCAAGTAGATTGCACAGTCTTCCTTCTGAGGAGTGGCTGGTGGGTTTGAACCGCCAGCCTTCTGGTTAGTAATCAAATGCCTTAGGCACTACAACCACCAGATGTAGTCAGGAAAAATAAGAAGTGACATAGGTGGAGAGGATTCTGAGAAAACGGTGGCAGAGGCAGCATAGTTTTTTAATCTCTCTGAAGTCCAGCGTTAAAATAGCTAGAACAACTAGATACCAAAACCAAAACTCCATGGTCTATATTTAAAATGAGACAAACTTTACAAGTATCCTCAGGACACCCCAAACTGTAAGTATGAGTTGAAGTTAGGCAAAGGATAAAAAAAAACAATAGCCAAGAAATCTGCATGGGAGAAAGCAAAGGCAAACAGGAGAACCTGTGAATAAAACACCAACCAAAACTGGACATGGACCTGACAACAGAAGAGCCCCCAAAGAGCTCAAGGAATGCATTAGAAAGTATGGTACATCAATTTGAGAACAGCATCTGAAAATGAGAGAGCTTTTGCCTAGCACAATGGCAGATGGCTCCTATGAACTTATTGACCAGTCAAGCAAGACTGCCTTCCAGAAGAAGGCCCCTCATACAGAAGAAAGTGTAAGAATTATAACAAAAGTGAGAAGGACAAAGAAAACAGAGACAAAGGAAAGAAAAGATCCAGATAAAAGTGGTGGAGAAGAGTATCTTATAAACCAAGCCTCCATATTTTGAACATTACAGAAAAATTACAGAAGACAGTTCTGTGAAATTGAAAAAGCTATCCGGAAGCTTGCCTTCTTTTGAAAGTAAAGGAACACTCATTTTACATGAACATAAGCATCAGAAAAGCATTGTTTTGTTTACCTAGTGCCACTCTGACAAGAATATACCACAAATGGGATGGTCTTAACAAACAGGAGTTTATTCTCTTACAGTTGGGAGGCTTTAAGTCCAAGTTCAAAGTGACAGGTTCTGGGGCCCTCAACCCTGGGCTTCATTCAGCTTTGCCTCCAGCTCCTGGCCCACTGAAGCTGGAGGCTTTTCTTTACTCAGATAGCTGCTGGCTGCCAAGACTGACAAGCCCAAGGTTGATAAGTAAAAAGATACAGTCCCCATGTTACCAAAAACACGGCAGTCCACTAATTCAAGTCCATTGAAAGTCCCAAGATCGGCAGGGCATGGTAGGTTGCTGAACGATGACTCAGCTACATGCAGGGTTCAAGCGTGCCATAAGATAGAGACCATTCCCAAAGCTGCTGGTTATATACAAGAAACAGCCCACATCCCTAAAGAGTCTACTTGGCTGCTCCAGTAGATTCCACCATGAAGTTAATTACCAATCTTACCATGGGGAGTAATTACATTCAGCTGCCCAGCCAAGTTGACACAC